GACACCATCACAACATGACCGGGACACCTTCAAAACATGACCGGGACGCCATCAAAACAGGACCGGGACACCATCACAACATGATTGGGTCACATTAAAAACATGATCGGGACACCGGGACGCCAGCATCACATGACCCGGACGCCATCAAAACATGACCGGGACACCATCCGCCCACCAGCTCTGACGGTGACCCGACGGCGCCCGTCCGCCTATTAGTTTTGCAAGACCCCATAGCATGGCTATTTGGGAATAACACTGGACCTATTTTCCTGCATGTGCCCACATGTCTCGTTGAAACGTGCCTGTGAACTGCTGAACTTTTGTCACTGCTATCCAATGTTGGGAGTTTGCCCATGCCCTCAGGGGAGCCTGAAGATATACTCGCTTCGAGCCGAAGCCGCCCGAGAGGTAGGAGGTAGGCCCAATGTACGGAGGCCCTTTGTATGATATGGAGCTCCCGGTAGTCCTCCTCAACGTCCAGATCATGGATGATGTTTGCCACAACCTCAGACCTCAGAGGATGTTGGTTTGGTTCCTAGTTCCTAGATGTTTAGGAAGACTTAACTAATAGCGATGGCCTCCAACCTACTTTAGATGGTTCATCATCGTTCATCCTTGGCTTTTCTTCACCGACTATCTATCCACATGAAAGTTGGTAAAGGCGCAAAGGCCAGCTCAGCTTTCCACTCTGAGGTTGGGTGCCTAGCAACATTTCTGGGACCTTCCAATGGAAAGAGACACCGAACGTTCAAGAAGCAAAGTGCCTACAAGAGTGTCGCCTTCGAGATGATTGTGCAGCAATCCAATACGACAACAAAAGCTGCAGGGTCATGGTGGGTGATGGCAATCAGTCGTTTGTAGACTCTCAGGCAGGAAGTATTGGCCTTTATCTTGTCAACTTGCCTTGATTGGCACTGCCGGCGTGTTATTTTTTGAAGAACAGGTTAATTTATTTTTCCTGACAGTGTGTCCGCAGTGTGTCCTGACATCAGGTTCTGGTGCGGTTGAACAACTGTTCTGAAGAAGATGCTGGCCTGAACTTGTTTGTCCCTGGTGCGGGATATCTTGAAGGAGAGTTTTCTGTGATGACAGCCTATCATGGCGCATCCTCATATTCTCGTCCTGGATCCAATCCTGATCGACAGCTTCTGCTTGGTCGAAGAGAGAATGTGGAGCGGGTACCTGCATCCTGCATGAAGCCTCTTTGCGCAAGGTGAATGAGGTAATTGGGTCATTAGACTCTTTGGTGGAATATAAGGCTGTTGACAGAATATATTGACCTTATCATGATTCTGATCCTATTTGTAACTATATCTTTGATTTCATCAGAAGTATACGTTGCTTCTATGTAGTAAGTCTAACCAAACCTGAGCGTGTGAACATCTGGTATGATCATGGGCTTGTGCACGGATACACCGTTTCTTCTTGAGATCCGACCACAAATCTCTTCTTTCTTGCGCAAGCAAGCCCAATGAACCTTGATGCCAGAAAGTGTGGGAGCAATTTTGGGTTTGACATTCAGGCACACCTCATTGGTTCTTACTAGGATGGAGGCCATCGCTATTAGGTAGGAGGAGGAGGCCATCGCTAGTGGCATAGGTATCAAGAAAAACATATTTATCGAATCAATAAAACAATATTTACCGAATCAAAGAAGAAATAAGTACTGAATCAATAAAAACATATTCGTTGTGCGATGAAATCTCTTGGAATTCCCAGTCGTGTAGGTGGCCGGTCCTCTGGTCCGCTGGTCCGCTAGTCCTCTGGTCCGCTGGTCCCCTGCAGTCCGCTGGTCCACTGGTCCGCTAGTCCCTTGGTCCTCTGGTCCTTCGTTCCTGCGACTACGACTATCACTACGATGCTGCTGCTATTATAGTACTGTTGCTACTGTTACTGCTATTGCTATTTGGAATATATGTTTGTTGAGTCAGTAGTTTTTATTTATTGATGCGTGTAGAATGTATTTAAATATATATATATATACGTTAAATATGTTTTCGATCTCTCACCCATCGCTAGTAGGTTGGAGGCCATCGCTAGCCGCTAGTACTTCCTGTGTTCTCGTACTTGTCAGGTCAGCCTGGTTGCTTTTGCACATCAATTCCTCTGACTACGAGGACTCAACCGCCAAGAACAAACCCGAGTTCTTCGGAGATGCTATGGCTTGTATCACCCCAGACGTGGTGTCCAACGTCTTCAAAAACGGCTACTCACTCGCCATCATGATTCACTTGTGTTTGTTGGGAATGTATAATGACGTGGGCTTCCTACATAGACTGAAAAGACCTTGCGAGGACTAGCCCTCCTGAAGATACAGAGATGAGGAAGGAATGCTTGGGGGATGACAGAGGTTGACCAACATGTTTCCAAGTCAACCCCAGCCGCAGAGCCTCATGAACAACAACATAACAAGGACGCTACTAGGAGCAAAGGGCATCGCTACTAGAAGCAAGGACGCTACTAGGGGCTCCTGGCCTTACTACTAGGAGCAAGGATGCTACTGGCCTTACTACTAGGAGCAAGAACGCTACTAGGGGCTCCTGGCCCTACGACTAGGAGCAAGGTCGCTACTAGGGGCTCCTGGCCTTACTACTAGCAACAAGAAAGCTACTAGGAACAAGGACATCCTGACTAGTGTCAAGAAGTTTTTGTGGCTCCTGGCCTTACTACTATGAGCATTCTTACTACTAGTAACAAGAAAGCTACTATGTTCTTTTCTTTTTTTAGCCCGCTCCAAGTCAACAAAAAGCCTGCCAGCCTCAAATGATTTGGGCAATTGCTCTTCCAGCTTAGAACCGCGCTGATAGACGCCTCACTACCTATTTAAACTGTTTTGGTCCTTCCATCTCCTCATAAAACTCTCCAAGGCCAAGACATCTTTGATCTGCAATTGCTCCCTGCTGAACTTCAATCTGCGCCCAACTTCGACAAGCCTGCGGCGCTGCAGCCATCAACCCTGGCGTTGTCGGTGCCCTCCTGCTCAAAGCCAGCAGCAAGCTTCGTCTATGGCACAGTGAAGGAGCGCAGAGCCCAGTTCCATCGAATCCCGCAGCCCAAGGGGTGATGAGGTGAAGCAATCGATTTCAGTGAGGAGGGGCGATAAAGTGATAAACCCTCAAGACATCCGGTTGGATGCACTAGCAATTGAACCTTTTCAACACCCGCAAGTCCGAGGAACGAATCCTTTTGATTTGCGAGGATAGACGACTCCATAGAGGTTCTGCACACATGCAACTCGTTCGACTCGTTCTCATATCGAGCTCATCGAGTCGCATCGAGCTGACTTTAACCCGACTCAGATTCAGATCCAACATGATTCAACATGCGAATCTCTCAACTCGTGAATCCAAAGCTATTTTGATTTCAGGAGCCTGGCATCTACTCCTTGGACCCCTGTGAGTGCTTTGGGGAAGCGTATGCCTTGGTAAATCCCGTGACCCAAGAATCCAATGCGGCAGTGCCCCGCAATGCAGATGGAAGCTTCAACAATGGCTCCGTTTCCTGGCCAGGTCTTGGTAAGGAACATTGGCCAGGTCTTGGCTAAGTGGTCTTGGGTAATGCAATTGCAGTGTTTTTCCACATGCCTTAGCAGGCTATTAGCAGACATAAAGAATTCCGACGGTGAATCATTTGTATTCTAGACAAGCATAGTGGGGTGTGCAATAGTCCTCCACAACGTGGCTCAGCGGTATGTGTGGTCAGAAGAAGACCCTGAGATCGTAGAAGCCCTGATTCTTCAAGGTGTCATTCAGGTTATAGAGTTATATTATGATGCAATGTATAGATTTATACAGTTATGTGATGTTCTTTGCAATATATATATATGATATTCATTACTGTATTTTCCTGATTGTTTGGACCATCGGTCTCTTCGATGGACTGAGGTCCCGGACCAATTGCTCTTCTCTGGGCCCTACACCTGCGAAGAAAGCGCGTGGAATCTCAGGTGGTCTCGTGTGGTTTTCATTCAGAGTTTGCCCCAGTTCGTAGGGGTTCAGATGGATACAAGATATATCAGGATATCATATCCATGTCAATGAATGTTGCACTCCGGTACCTATGGAGGATAAATTATTGGGGTAGTCGGGCCGTTTTTTGTAGTTTTTTTTTGTATTTTCATGTGCGATATGGTGGAGGGTCTTCGCACCTTTTTTTTGTGTTGTGGGGTGGTGTCGAAACCCGTGAGCAGCTATTTTGAGTGCAGTTCAAGCAATTCTTGCTCGGAAAGAGAGCATATGCTGGCGAATGCTTGTGAACAAAAGTTTTGAGCAATTAGGTTGGGGGCCATCGCAGCTAGTAGCTAGTAGCAGCTAGTCTCAAAAACGTTCCTCTCCTTTTTCATGTCAAAAGGGCGACGGGGTCTGACATTGCTGAGGCCTCGGTGGGGCAGTTCCTACACTTTGACTTGGAAGGGCGCTTTGGATGTGAGGGGTTATATAGTGAAAGGATAGGGGTTCGGTACCTTAAGTGGAGGAGCCAAGGTTCAGAGTGCTTCATGTTCTTCAATATATCTCATATATAGTTGATTAAGACACCGTGACATATTGCTGATCATGCCACCCTGTGGATTTCTTCGAACGGTTTGCTCTCTTTCATGTCGAGTCTAATTATGTGGGAGGACATTGGACACCAATCCCTCTTGTTTGGAAGGTGAGTCTGAGTCTCCTGCCTGTATGTTGTCAACAGGCTATGAGTGCTATGAGTTCCTTTGCCGGAGCATTCAAGCACATGTGTTTGTTCCGGGAGAAGGAGCTGGCTGGTGATTTGATTCTAGGGAACAAAGCTACGGCTACAAACACATTCCCCGTCGCCTGCTCTTCGCCTGCCTTTTCGCTGGAAATTCAGAAGCTCGAAGCCAATCTGCTTTGCAGGTGTCAAAAGGCCTGCTCATCCCAAGCACAATGCCAATTCTATCTCTTTGGAAAGACTTCAGTGGCTCGTCACAGTGGTGGTTTTCTATTTCCTCTAAGCAATGGTGACCCTTTAAAGTCCAGGTTTGTTGGTGATGCGTTGCTTTCTTCACTCTGTCGGGACGTTTGACTGCGTGTACGAACCACAAGCTTTCACTCAGCAGATCTCAGCAGTTCATGTTATGTGGATGTATAGTGGGGACTTGAAATGGATCCGCACATCAAGGGAAGTTTAGGTCATTGCCACATTGCCGATGTATGAGCGAGATTGTTTTCATTCCACCAATCTCAAATGGGGTGATCTTTGCCTGACCAGGAGACCTGCACCTTGTTCCAGAGTTGCAGATTCATCCAAGATGTTGGACTACAGATCGTGAATGAGTTGTATGGAATCCCTCCCAAGAGTACTTCCTACTGCCGCATCGCCAATCCTCAGAAGTGCTGGCAAGAAATTAGGCGAAGGAGCATGCTGAGCTTTACGCCATCAGCTCTTCCAGACTGCCTTTTCCAGAAGCAGCATCTCGATAGACCCTGGTTGGCCATTTGTTTCTGCTGAAAGGTGAAATGGAGGATTGGGGTAGCGAGATAGCGATGGCCTCCAACCTAATAGTAAGCTGTGGACATCAGGAGACAACCTACAATGACCACACCACAAGCACCAGATATTGCGCCAGTGGCCCGACCCGTCAGTGGCCCGAAGGGGGTTCCACTGTCGACAGACAGAAGCCACAAGCCGAATTCAGAATGCACCAGGGCAAGCACGACAGACAACAGAGAATGAGGCTGTTCAATCATTTTTGCCTGAAAACAAAGAGATTGCAGCCATGTATGAACCGCAACAAAGCAAACAAGCCAAAGCCATTACCCAACCAAAACTCTGTTCACTTCCCAGCCAAATTGTTAATGTTTTTGAAGCTCACGCTCCGGATGAGCAGAAAACCACCACCAACTCGGCTGCATGCATTTTATGTGTTCACATTGGGACAAGCCTGGTAGGTTGTTGATGGCTCGAACTAAAGCAGTTCAGTGTTTCTCCGCATTCCAATATATATATATATTATATATATATATGTTATATAATATATATGTAATATGTTATATTATATATATTTTTATACATTGTATATATTATATATATATATAATCCAAAGAACATCTATACTGGTCTCAGCAAGATGTTCCTGGAGTGAGATGTATCCTTCGCCGGCCTCCATGTGCTTCGCTGGTTCAACAATTGTTTGCTTGCGCAGAAAAAGATCGGAGTGGCAAGGTATGATGCCTGTGACGCTTTGCAACTTCTTCTTGGAAAGAAAGACGGCCCTTGCACCCGGTGTGAGTACATCGATGCATCCAGTCCTTTTGCTGCGCAGGGCCTTCAGAAAGTGGCTCGACATGGACTCTTTAGCGGTGGTTTGTGGTGTTTAGACACTGGGCCGAACCGCACTTGGTAGAGGTCAGTAGGGTCATGGAGATAGTTTGTCAGAAGGATGCAAATGGTTCCTCCCATTGGTCAAGGTGATTGTCAACCTTTCGGCTTTTGTGTGCACTGAACAACACTGAATTGTTAAGTAACCGGTTGGCGCTTAGAAATTGAAATGCGGTTGACGTCGATTGGGCACGCGTGGCTTCTCTCAGAGCTCACGAAAACCATGCCCGAATGGCCGCAGTCTCCACCGGTGCACGCATGACAGGTTCCCTTGCCGGAAGTCTTCCCTGCAGCCTCACAGATCACAGTGACCTGCAACAAGACCAGCAGGATGTTTGCGATGCTGGAGGAAGGGAAAAAAAGCAGTCCTTAAGCATGTTTGTTCAGTTTTGGGTACTCATATGTACTCATGCTATGACAGTCAAAGTAGCTTTGGCCTGAGAGCCTGTGGAAGTAGCAGCAACTACAGTAGTAGCAACTGCTCTTGCTTGGAGGCACATAACCTCCCTGAGCCGCTCCACTCCAGGAGGGTCTTCACTGGAAAGGTCGAACAGTTGCCGCAACATTTACCTGTGTGAGTGGCCAATGGATCGGCGAAGGCCCTTGGCGAGATCTCTCCAACTTCACGTGCTTTGGACCATTAATGTTGGATTTTTTTTCGCAAAACCCACTCCCCCTAGCGGAGAATTGAGGGAGGCTGAATAGAGTCAAGCCCACCAAAAGTAGCAATTAGTAAGTAGTAGGAGTAGTAGTAGTAGTAGTAGTGGTAGTAGTAGTGGTAGTGGTAGTGGTAATAGTGGCGGCAAGACAGACAGGCATGTGCAGCTCTCAGTTGGCAAGGATCTCAAAAGGCAACAATAGCACAATAGAAAGGTAAACTTTGATATTTTTCCTGGGGTTCCAAGTTCACTTATCCCAGCAATATCCAGCAATTCTTATTTTTCGCTTCCCTTGGGTTTAGTATTTTTTGGAAAGGGTTTTCGGGTGAGAGTTCCATGAGTCAACCAAACCTCAGGGCAGGTTGAGCAAGGATCTTAAAGGGAAACAATAGCAGAACAATAGAAAAGTTAGCTCAGATACTTTCCCAATCACTAGACAAGATAGACCTCAAAAAACACATTGTTTGATATTCCCGCCCACTAAACTTTTCAGGGTGTGGGAATTATTTTGCCAAAAACATCCCTTCCCATTCGACTATTTGAGATTCGACATTCTTCTTCGTTCAAAAGAACAACACAAATTCCTTTGCACTCCAAGGTGTCACCGATGGTTGATTCTGCAACCATGCCAGGTGCCAACGTTGCATCCAGGTTGGAAGTCCCAGCCTTCAACGGTTCTCCATGGTCTCGATGCCAGAAATCTATTTCTTGGAGCACCGGCACTTGCCTTAGTGTAGTGTGACGACAGGAGTTTCCTTGCAGATGTATATAAGGTGGATAAGAGAGAGCCAACTCAAAAGCACAACCGTTCGGTTTGCTCAGTTTGACTGATTTCAGGGTTTGATGTATCGGCAGTGATGAGAGTGAGAGTATGTGAATCATCCGTCTAGTGGCCTAGGCAAGTGCAGGTGAACTATCCTCTTGCATGGAAAGGCTGCCCTCGTGCAGGATTCCTCACGCCATCTCCGTTACAATCGGCCCGTTCCAAGATGTTCATGGTTTTGGCCAAGGACAGTGCAATGCTGTGGCATTGAAAGGGCTCTCTTTTTTGCACTGACCGGAGGAGAAATATCCAGCTCTTAGCCAACCAAAGTTTTGTTGCATTTTATGAAATCTATTAAACTCTCCTAATCTGCAGTGCGCAGAACTTGAGCCTTCAGCTCTCAAGCTCTTCGCCGGGCGGTCTCACCTGGTGGATAGACACCTACACTGAGCAGCTTCGCGTGAGCAGCAGCGGCGCGGTGAAATTGGACCCCAACAAGACTTGGTGCGTTTGTGATACCGCGACTCAGCCCGGCACCCTGTGCTTCGGCCGATGTTGGACAGATTCAAGACAGCTGTTCTACTGCAATATCTCAAGATATTTTGAATAGCCCATGTGTATGCGTGTAGTTATCAAATTGCAGTAGAGAACGAAGAAGAGTAGCACGAAGCACAAGATCTTCCACTTGGTCACGATCCACGATCCCGCTCTCGACAAATATTTATCAAACACCTCAAGTGAGGGGCACGTATGATTCGGCGAGCTACCCGCCATTCCAGCCAACTGCCACTGCTGTTGAAAGGCATTTTCCAACCCTACCTACCTCCCTACTTTGTTAAACATAACATACATTGAAACATGTCTTTGAACATTGAGGATTGGGCTTCCTGTACCGTCTCTACAGCAGGAGTTTGTTCAAGTCTTCATGTTTGTTTTGCTCTTGGCAAGTGAACAATCCAAAATGAATCAAACAACATATTGAATTGTACACCCACCCCCAAAAATACTAGCTTTTGTTTGAGTGATCGGTATTTGCATCGTTTTCAGTCTGCTGGGTGCAGAATCACAGCATATATTATATTTGGCTTTATAGTTGAGAAATCACAGGGAATCCTACCCTTCTCATGTATAGCTCATACGTGTCATGTTGCATTGTCTCATTTTGCGTATGCACCTTGTATATTTGGCTCAAGCGCAGTGGAAAAAGAGCATGCGCTTAGCTTTGGTTGCATATTAGTCCTGTACCGTTGAGGTTGTGCGGTACTTTGGATTAACTGGTTAACAGCCTCACTCGTACGTATCTCGAGAGCTACACTTGATTGAGCCCAGGTTTAGCTCTCATTCCATATTCTCTTGGTTGCCCAACGGCCAGTACACATTTCGATTTGCGTGTCCGTGCGTAGGCATCCAAGTGCGCAGCAAGCTTCGAAGCATCCGCAGAGGAGACATTCGGGGCCGTCTTGGTTGTTTGCATCCTGTGCAGCTCCAACAGTTCATATAGACTATCCAGCCATAAAGGAAGAGTAGGTGAGTGATCGCAGTGTTTGTTGAGCCTTGGCCTACTCGTAAGACCTTTCATTGTTTCCAGTGTGGCATTTTGCCAAGATCCTTGTTCCTTGCAAAGCAATAGATAAGTGATCCTGGATAAGTGTGAAACAACTCGAATTTCCGAAGTTCCTTTTTGGTCCAACCAAACCCAACTCCCTTCAAATGGTCAGAAACCGCCACATCCACTCTGCAAGGAAGCAGCGGCTTGTCAAGCTCTTCGTCAGGGGGGCCACCCGGTCCTCCGGGCAGAGGTCCTAGTGGTGGCGGGTCGCAGGGGGGCAGTTCACCCCATTCCCAAAGGGAGTGGCACAGTGTTGGGGTTGGATCAGCAGATGTCCTCGCAGAAGAATCGGTGTATAGGTATAAAGCCCTTCAATCGATCAAGATAGACAGTCTGCCGCAAGATGCTGGTGCATATCGGGGATGGAAGAATGGGATCATCACGAAGCTGTGTTCGATTGACGTGACAGGACAGGACATAATCCTAGGTTGGATCTTGGAAGCTTTAGACCCGACTGCTGATCTCAAAGCAAACGCTTGTATAGCTTTGCCACGACTGGAAGCCTACATCGCTGCGGTCCTTGCTGAACCGAAACATCTGAAAGGTGACTTGGGTGTTCAGTTCCAAGCATACTGTGAGCAATGTCAGCAGTTTAGGGTATCCCCCCAAAAAAGGTTCACGCTTCAGATGATTGCAAAACGGTTTCAACTAGATCTCAACCGTGGGGCCAACCTGACACAACAGTCGTTGTTGGAGTTGTCATTGGATTCATACACCCAAGAGGGGCTCTCAAAGTTCATCGAAAGAATTGAACTGGTGTTGAATTCCATTCCTCCTTCACATCAGCCGAGTGAGATGACGAAATTCATATGGTTATTCAGTGGGCTCATGCCCTGTCGCAACATGCAACGCTTCATCGATCGTATCAAAGATGCACGGGAGGGATCTCATGTCAAGACTTGAGGTTGGTTGTATGATAAGTTGCAACGGGTAGTCCTAGAAATGCGTGAAGATGCAAACGAAGAATCGGTCAGACGTGCGCTTTCTCCGACCAAACCCAAACAAGATCGACCAAAGGGAGACGGTAAGGGTAAGGATCTGAAAGCCAATGTTGCTGTTGACACGGATGACAAGGGTACAAAGGCATTACCAGGTCCCGCGAAGCCAAAGCCAAGGCGAAGGCTGACTCCAAAGGAGGCGGAAAAGGAAAGGAAGGTGGCAGCAGCCAAAGGCTGAAGACTCCTGCACCCGTCCCTGAGACGCCAGCCTTTGCTCGCGGCTGATGAAGCAGTCCCAGCATCAAGTTCTGCAGGTATTGTGCCAGAAGAACCGGAAGTTGACCCAGCATCGTTTTCGGCAGGCATAAAGCCAGGCGAAGAGTACAAAGAACTTGCCGGCCTAGCCGCAAGAACCAACAATGTTATCGATGAGGAGTTTCTTCAGAGCAATGCTAATAGGCGGGGATTCTGTAGGATGAATTCCTTTGCTGGTCACAACACCGTCTTTGAATACGCATGCTCAAGTGATTCTGCTCTAGGACATGTAAGTGCAGCCATTGGAGTTGAGTGCATCAGATTGTCTAGAGACACCATCAATCTCGCAGATTCCAAACAGGTTGATCAATTGCTTCAACAGGTTGAATTGCGCCCAGGGGCTGATGGTTGGATCAGCTTGCCGTGCACTGACTACACACCATGGCAGCACATGAACAGTCACCGATATGGCGAAGCCTTTGAAAGAAAGCTTCAAGAAAGAAGAAAGAAATCCATGAAAATGTTCAAACAGGCCAAACGTTTTGCAAGAAAGATCCTTGAAACTGGGGGTAGGGTAGCGCTCGAATGGCCGGCTGACTCGGGTTGGTGGGACTTGAAGGAAGTCCAAAAGTTTGAACATGAACATTGTTTCAGAAGAGTTTATTTTCATGGATGCATGTTAGGAGTACATGGAAAAGATTTGCCAATCAAGAAACCTTGGTGTGTGTCAACTTGTGATGAGCGGCTGATTCAGATCTTCTCTCAACTTCGATGCGATGGAAACCATCAACACGAACCTGCAGAAGGTAGTCACACCACTCAAACAGGGTTTTACACCACACAGTTTGTCACGGCCATCCTCGAAAGCTGGTTTCCCAAACAGGCATATCATCGCCATCGCATTCCCAACGTGTCCGTCGCCAATCATGCATGTGTGACAAAGAACTTGTCACGAGCAGAATGGACAAAGGACGAACGTGGACTCAAGGTAGTTCAAGATGAAGCCGCAGGCCTCAGAACGAACGGCGCCTGGGACGACAGCAGCGTCACCACGTTGAACAACTTCAAAGCTCAGGCAAAGGCGACAGGTGTTGAGGTGAAGATAGCATCCCTTCTCACACTGTGTGGCATCAAGTATTGGGAATGTTCCATGGACCAAAGGAAGTATAAGCGGCGAATAGTGTACAGGGGTGATCTGATCAAAGACCAGAGTGATCAATTAGTACTCTTTGAAGACACCGCCACGTCTCCGACAGGTGCATTGAACATCACGTTGTTCTATGGTACGCTAATGGGGCACTCCACGAGTTGTGGAGATGCAATTCAAGCATTCCTTCAAGCACCCTTGGAAGAAGAGGCATGGATCATCATAGGAGAGAAACTTTGGTTACCAGCCTGGTTTGATGTTTATCCTCGCGGCACTAAGTTGTGTGTTCGTCTCATGAAAAGTCTTTACGGTCATCCTCTTGCAGGAAAGCTTTGGCAGGAGTACTTAAGCAGTCGTCTCAAAGCGTTGAATGCCGTAGAGCTCGAGGGGTTCCCTTCAAACTTCATCATCCCACGCAAGGGCAACAAACACTTGCTGCTTAACAAATATGTTGATGACCTCACAGTCAGCGGTGAGACATCCTTGCATGAAGAAATTTGGAGAGAGCTTCGCGCAATGATAAAAATTGAACCTGAAGTGTACCTTTCTTCTGATGGGATCAGGATACTCGGGCGTCAGCACCGCCTCAACAAGACCCAAAATGGAGCAACTCTAGATCTTGACATGCGATCGTATGCCACCGGCATTGTTGAGTTCTACTGTGGCCTTTGTGGAATTGAGGCAACATCTCTGAAGCGAGTGTCATCACCCGCTTTGCCTGAAAGTTCGATGACTGATCAAGAGGCAGAAGAACAAGGAAGCCTTCACAGTCAAGCATCTAAGGTCCTGATGCGCTTGCTGTGGCTTTCCCGTCTTTCAAGACCGGATTTGAGTTTCATCATAGGGCGACTGGCTTCGAATGTTTCCAGATGGTCGAGATGGGACGACCGGCAGTTGTTGAGAGTCATTTCATACTTGCATCATACGTCGGAATTTGTTACTGTAGCATCTGTGCAGTATAACTGCAAACCAGAGATACATGTGTACACTGACGCCGACTTTGCAAGTTGCCCGTGGTCTGCCAAGTCAACCACTGGCATTGTGACTTGCCTTGTGACGGGAGATGCCAAGTGGCCAGTTTACTGGCAAAGCAAGAAGCAATCCAGCATTGCTCGTTCAACCACTGAAGCAGAGCTTATCGCTATGAGCTCAGCACTCTTTGGAGAGGTCCTGCAGATTCAAGACATGCTGCATTACCTTTTGGGCGAGCGACCTGATGTGTTCTTTCAGCAGGACAATCAGGCTGTCATCAAGATAGTTGGAAATCAATACAGTGTAAAGCTGCGTCACTGTGGACGTGTGCACCGCGTCAACGTAGCTTCGGTCTCATCTGTCATGACTGAGGAGGAACAGCAGATAAGCTTGACCTATTGCAACACACAAGATCAGCTGGCAAATCCTCTTACGAAGATCTTGCCGCCTGCGCAATGGCCAGAAGCACTCTGTCAGCTACAGGTTCGAGAATACCACACGTAGTTGTTTCCAACATGCATGGTTGCAAAGCAACCTTGCCCCATAACCTATCTCGATTGTTGAATGCATATGACACTTATTCGAGGGGGGAGTTGAGAAATCACAGGGAATCCTACCCTTCTCATGTATAGCTCATACGTGTCATGTTGCATTGTCTCATTTTGCTTATGCACCTTGTATATTTGGCTCAAGCGCTGTGGAAAAAGAGCGTGCGCTTAGCTTTGGTTGCATATTAGTCCTGTACCGTTGAGGTTGTGCGGTGCTTTGGATTAACTTTCTGAACTCTTGTGGAGGTATTTTGCTTTCCTTCGGCCGAAAAGGGAGATATTGGTTGGGGGGGCATTGTATGTGAAAAAAATACATAATTACCCCATAAAGGCTTGAGACTTCAGCAACTCTTGAACTGAGGTATGCATGCCCTTGCACTTCGACCTGCTTGGTGATGGAAAGGGGCTTCATTCAGGGATCCACAGGCCGCTGAATCCATGGTCCATCTTCTGCGGGCACATCGGTGCTTTCATCTGTTTTCTGTTCACTCGTGGACAAGAAATTGTGGTTTTATAAATTGGAGACAGAGAGACAGATGTAGCGAGACAAACCATGAGGCAAGTGTGCCCGAGCCCTCGGTCAGACCTTGAAGTACGTGTCGTGCCCGATGACCCGAGACATTCCGTTGCTTTGGCTGAAAGAATCAGAGAAGGTGACACAAAGAAGGTGGACTGAACTTGGTTCGGCCTGCCATGATTTTCTGGAGTACAGGTCTAGGTCTAGAATCTAGAAGGATTGTAAATCCATGTTGATGGCGCCTATTTGATTCTTGATGAGCTTGCTTTGCAGCCTGGACCGCCAGAATTGGTCTATCATGTCTATCGATTTGCATTTTTGTAGATCTCATGTGCCTGACTTGCTAGTGTAGAGGATTTACCTTGTTATCATGGAGACAACGCTTCCGACGCTTCTGCAAGCGGGACAGAAATGATCCCTACGCTCTGACACCGATCCTTCCTGAAAGAGCGGAGAGAGGTTGAAGAAGTCGAAAGGAGTCGAATAAGTAATGGCAATGGCCTCCTGAGAGCAATGGCCTCCAACCTAGAAGCGATGGCCTCCAACCTGAGAGCGATGGCCTCCAACCAACCTAAGTCTGAAGTCGAGCGCAGATTTGTCACAGTGTCTTGACAAACCTGTGACAGAGCATGTTATAACCAAGATGACAGATATCTTCCGGATGAAATGTTTATACAATGCATGTTTCCACCATCCTGCCCAAAGAATGTCAGCTAAGGTTCCTTTGGTACTTCCAGTCTGGGAATTGCCACTGAGCAGGACAGGTCTGTTTGTTGATGGAAAGGGATCCCTGGAAGACCTTGATCGCCTTTGAAGAACCGGGTCATTTTCCGCTGGTGGAAGTCGCAATTTTGCCACCTCGCTGATTGGATCGTGGGACAGACCGATTGAAGAAGCTACATGAAAGGTGACGTGATGTTTTAAACAGAATTGCCATGTGCATCCTGGTCAGGAAGTGGTCAGGAAGGTCTTCCAATATCAGTCGTCTCAAATTAGGGTGCGAAATGGACGCGCACTTTTACACGCCAGTTTGTCCTGGTTCATTATCCAGTTCATTGTGGTTTGCATTATATAACTTATTGTTAAATTAAGATTCAAGGGTTCAGATGCTTTTATATAGTGGGAACAAAAACAAAAGCAGATTTCTCCCTCTGACACACTGAGGCTTCTTCGGCTTTGATCTCAGCAACACCGCCAAGCGCTTGTGGACTGCCACCTCCGAGGCAGCCACAAGTCCGTCAGCGTCTCCCTTGCGATTGGGGAACTATGCCTTCAAGATGCATCCGATTGAGCCGCAAGGCGGGATACGCGGATGTGGATGTTTTTTCACATGGCTTTCATATGATTTGCGCTCAAGACACAGTGAGCTGCTTTCTTGAATGCCCGGCCCGGCCCAGGGGAACTACCCTTTGTATGTGTAGCCTTTGAGTAGCCTCCGCGTAGCCTTGTTTTGGTGCGTAAACGCTAAGCAACCCAAAAGAGCACTGCTCGAGTGGATTGAGAGAGCTGTGGCAGTTCTGTTTTGGGAGATTATGAACATTGCTGGAGATTTGAGAGAGAACATTGGGAGAGGGTTGTTTGGCGGTGCCAGTGATGGAGCAGAATGAGAGGACAACATTGACATGGAAACATGATTACTGTTGGGTTGATGTTGGCGACTCGTGGTAGGAGGTCTTTTTCAGATCTACATGGACTACCCTCCCTACAGCGTCCAGCTTTGTCTCCACGCTGATATGAGCCAAAAGAATGGCACTGGGTTTGCTATGAAAATCTCAGGCGACTGCCAATCAGCCGCTGGGCCGGTGCTGGAAGCGGAAGAACGAAGACAAGATCACATCCCACGTCGTTTCACTAAAAAAATATGTAATTGCGTGTAACGAAGTGGAACGATTCTTGAGAGTTTCATTTTTGGCAGGTCATTCATGGTCATTCAGAGGGAATCCTTTTTGTGATGGCGAGCACACACTAGGCTTTATCAGAAGCAGACGGAGAATTCCTATCCGTCACTCAGGTCTTCATGTGGATAGGACAGCACTTGATCTATTTCCACCGCAGCGTGTCTTGGCTTTACAGTGGCACCCTTTGATACATGTTGATACCCTGTTGGCATGCTTCTTTTGACATCATTTCAAGACAGTTACACTTCGTTTCGTCAACTCGTGCCCTTCTGAGCCAGGTTCGAGCATCCGTATTTGTTGTATTGTCACTGCAAGCTTGTGCCTCCTTGTATTGTGGACTGCGGTTTCTTTGTAAACCTGTGACTTGTGACTAGGACGTAATCCTGATGGGAAGGATCATGAGAGCTCGCCCGCGTCAACCAAAATAGCTCAGCCTGCAAATGAAAGCCTTTGGTGACCTCAACCCCGGTTTCCATGAAAGAGTGCAAAGCCTGAAAGCAGACACTTTTCAACACCTGCTGATGCAGAGCTGAGGGTGTGTCTTGATCTAAAAGGGGCTGGCGGTCCACGATCATCTTTCTCGTCCGAGTCCCCTAGGCCAGCGTCAGCCCATTCCACTTCTCCCAACATCGCGTCATGCTTCTTTCGATTCCTGTGTTGCCTGTCCCATTCTTAGCGATCCAAGTGCCTGTGGCACATGTTTGCAGTGCAGTCAGTGCCCATCACCGGCGGAGGAATGCCCTCTGGAGATTTTGGGTCTTGTCAGTTGTGGTAGTGATACTATAATATTATATATATATATACACATATGTCTGATACTGTGTGATACTGCTTTTATAAATGTCACCTCATAAACCTCCCAAATCCCAAGCATGGACCGATCTGCTCACGTGAATGTGGACCGATCCCCCGAGCGGCTTCAGTCTACCCGGTTGGAGACTAAAGAGAAAGCTCATAGAAATCCTGTCAACTGGCTGGCGAGGATCGTGCTGGTCCCTCAGCAGTACTCCAAAGCCACTGTGCTCGGGATCCTCGGGCTGTTATTCGCGGGCATGCCAAGCTCGAATCATGGTGTATGTGTGGAGGGACACGTGCCTCAGCCACAGGATGGTTTCGTCAGCCATTTGCTTCCTTGAACTGATACGGCCTCTCGCTCTCTCAGTGCCGGGTGGACCCGGAGCTGTACTGCACTGTCGAGCAAGTCCAAGAGGTAGGCAAGGAGATCATCTCTGAGGATGTCCCTGCCAGCATCAATGGCCATGTCCACGTGCAACACTGCCGGCACTTCATGTGTTCCAGAACCTGCAAGTCGTTGCCAATGTCAGGAGTTTTTTGACGATCGATTCATGCCTGATCTTCCATCATCTACTCGTAATTAGGTTTCGGTCTCTCGTGGCCAACCCCCTCCACCCGAGATCTCCTCAAAACTCTGCAACCTCAGCTCATTTACGTCGAGACTCCACAAGGTTTGTGCCACAACGAGCGATGGCCTCGCACTAAGCATAGCTTCGTCTTTCGGACGAAAGGGTTCCCAGTCAGGGGCCCTTATACTCAAACTATTTTTCAAATTCTGTCATCCTTTCCGAATCCTAGCATACCATTTTTCTGCCTTCTCGGCCAACACTGGGTAGGTCGGAGGTCCCAGAGATTCCCCGCGACACCATCTGGCTCCCCAACGGCTCCGCGGCCTCGTTGGACCCACAACTTTTTCAAGTCACAAAGCTCACTACCTCCATCGCTCCTAGGTTGGAGGCCATCGCTAGTAGGTGCCACTACACCAGGACTTGTCCACCACCTACTACATGGCGCTGTATGCGAATCCTACCGACTTGCGTCAAATATTGGTGGCCGAGAAGCAGACGAAGCCTGGAGACCGCTACAACTTCAAGATGGATCATGGTCAGTCGCTCGACGTGGAACTGGGTGGTGAATCACGTGAAAAAAAAGAGTTTTCTTTTGAGCGACTTCTTTTCCTCGTTAAACTGGTTTCTTTCATTTGGGGGTTGCTCAAGACCTGTGAGGCTCAAGCAGCGGGCAGCTAATTTTAATGGTGTCCTTCTTTTTCACTCAAGAACTGGAATCAACGCAGTCACTCCATTTATTCCCCATGTTCTGATCGAGTGCAAACCAGACATCTTGATGATCTTGATGCCTTAACTTTTGTGGCCATTCGATTCCTCCAGATGGTGTCAAAGTCCTTTGGGTGAAAGACTTTAGTCCATAACATCTCATGTTTGATGGCAATCAAAGAATCAACACTAAGCATGAGCCTTCGGTGCAACCGCAGAAACATCTAGTGTAGACCGTCTCTTTGGGTCCGGCCTTTGAGCCTTGGGCGCTTCTAGCACGCCAAGAGTATTGAGCCCCTTGTGAAGACAACCAGCTCAAACTCTTCGCCGTTTTGTGAGCACAGGATAGCATGGTTTTCCGTATTGAAACACTGAAGTTGGCCGATACAAGCCAGACAACTTTGCAGTTGTCTCCTCGATGTGTTTGTACACAGCACGCAGTGTTTCTAGACGCCTGCAAATAAGCAGCCTATCTCCATGCGGAGTTTGCTCTTGCTGGTGTCGAGTTTGCCAAGGATTTTTCCAGTGGGGGAGCCCACGAAGTGCCTGCAAGCGAGCCAAAGTGTAGCCTTGCCCATGCAGGACGAGTAGAGTTGCGGAGTTGTCGCAGCTTGATGTGTCGCAACAATATGCACTTTTCGCATGCCGACCTCTCAGGAGACGACATATTTGGTCCGACATGAGTTTACACCTAATCCGAACCCGCCTTACCCTCTCTGCGACGCCTATCCGGCATTCTTTGGAGACCCATTGCAGGGAGCACGTGGCTGGTACCAGGCCGGTACTGGGCGACAGAACATGGAGAGCCTGCTGTGTGACCCTCCAAGACCGACATTACACAGCAATCTGTTTGTGTGCCTTGTATGTAGAGAGAGAGAGAGAGACAGAGAGAGACACACACACACACACACTACGGATCTGAATGCCACATGCCACACGCCCACCTAAGTTTGAAAGCCTAAGGGTACCAGGACAAGAAGAAGTAAGCAAACCCGCCAAAGCTCCAACGATCACGAGATCGACGACAGGTTTACAGCGTACGTGCACATTTGCCGACCTGAGAACAACCTAAACAGCCTGGTCAGCTAGAGGAGGAAATGATTACCGAACATCACACTTGTGAAATTGCAGGTACACAGATTGGCGTCCCAATCTGCTTCACGGAGTATCCACAGCTGTCTTCGTTGGCAGCAGAACTGTGGACTCCCTGCTGGCCCCTGCTGCAAATTAAATCAAGAAGGAAGAGGCAAATCCAAGAGGATCCCTATAATTCCAAGGGGTACACGCACACCCCACTTGTGTGATCTTGTGTGGCTACATGCAGGATAGAGATTGCATCAGCAAGCACAGTGGCACACTTAACAAAGGGAACCCACTAGTCCTGGCTGCAAGCTCTCTGCTTCATCTACTTCCGGGTGCACGTGTTGCCCAGGTCATGTCCCAGGTCCTATTGCAGAAGTGTGCAAAACCAGTCTATGGTTTGGTTTGATAACAGAATGTTTAGATGAAAACTTCCGAGCTAGGATATAATCATCGATTCACCAAATTAGGTGTGTGCGCAAATGCGATGTGTGTGTACACCTTGGAATCGCAGGTTACCTTTCGCTTGTAATTGCAGGGCGATACTGCACGTCCAACGAAGAGGGTATCAGTTGCTGCTGATACAGTGAAGTAGTGGCCTTTCATGAACTTCACTTGTGACCTGGAACTTCAGGGATGGTCCGGGGTAGTGACACCCCTTCACACGCTTTGGCGAAAGGTTTCACTTACTTTTTATGTTTGAGCTGTAGCAGAAAGAAATTCGATGAGTCCGCAAGTGATGCGAAGCGCAGGGAGTGGGAAACGCACTGGTTTTAGGGATTCGCTTATCAGGAGGCTGAGAAGTTGGCGGAATGTGGGATGAGTTTCGGGTGGTCTCGGGACCGTTGCCGCATCTCCTGTGTGGTGTTGTGGCCATACGTCTCATGGAAGCGCAATCCCTTCAAAAATGCAACTGAAACCTCAAAACGCACTGGCAAGGGTGCATGATGTAAAGAACACCACAGCACAGTGGACGGGTCCAGCATGGAACATCAAGTTGCCCCACTTGTTGCACGCGCTTAGTTTTCCAATGAAACGCGACTCTCACCCCCACTTGAACCATTGAATGGGAGACTTACTTGTGGCTGATATACCCCCACTTGCCTCACTTGCTCTACTTGCCAGGGCCAAGGTTGCAGGAACGTAGCGAGCATGCCCTACAGCTAAACAATGTAATTGGGGCAAAACAGGCAGCTGCGTGCAGACCACAGCAGCAACTAGGATTGTAGGAGTGTGGGTTGGCAGAAGATCCCATCCGCCCAATTCTGCCAGAGATTCACTGGTGTTGCTCTTTTGCACAGGTTTGTGCAACGTCACCTTTCCTCAAGCTGCAGCCGGGGCCGCCGCCGGAAATCTTGCAATACGACGAATACAACGTTGTCATTAAATGCCCAAAAGACTCCGTGATGAGCAAGGCACGTGGGTATTTTGAGCAATCAGCGGCCTTGACAAAGTGTGGTCAGCAGGACAAATTTGTTTTCTCCACCTAGCCGATAACTTCAATAGTTAAATTGTTTTGGCCTGCCCGGGCCTGCCCGCCATGCATGGCTGTAGGTTTTCTCTAGTCATCCCATTTCACTCACCCTCCTTAAACCATTGGTGACCGTGGTCTATTGGATCCAGCTGTAGCTAGCACTCCAGCGGGGATAGTTTGGGAGTTTAGTGAAAGACTTCTTCGACTTGAGGCAGGTGGCACATTTTGTTTGGAAACTCAGCCGCCTCACACTTCCGGCTGAGTGGTGACTGTTGCCCTTTTCTGAGGGCATCCAGTAGCATCATGGGGAAGAGACTGACTCCGATTACGATTGGTGGGTGACAGTGTGGCTCAAAGAATTTGTCGTGTTGCACAACCTAAAGAGTGATGTTTGGCGATCTTGTCCAGTTATATGGATGACTGCTGTCAGGGCAAAACGAGGTGGTTGAGGGCAACGCCTTCTTTGAGCCTTGTGTCCGGCCATGGTTCAGAAATCCGGCTGCCCGCATAATTGGGGCTTGATGGTTTGCAAGGTTTCTGGGCATAGCAGCCGTGCTCAAACTCATGGTTCAACGTCTCGCAGGAGTCTAATTGGCGCCTTCTCCTTAGTCACCTCATCAAATAGCCCACCCAGCCCAGGAGGTCGCGCAGCATTCTGATGGGACGCCAACATGGGAGTAGGGTGTTCTGCAGTTACTGCAGCCAATGTAGCGAAGGGTCCTTGAAAAGCCTGAATCAGGAAGCAGGATGAAGCAGGATTTTTGGCCATCGCTCTTCTAGGTTATTGTCCGACGTTTAGCAGATCACTGGAGTTGAGTTCAACCAAGCTTGTCGGATCAAGTGTTTCTTGAAACTTGACGATGTGCTTGGCTGAGGGTCGATCGAAGAAGAAGGCTTCCAGCTCCCAAGACAAAAGAGATTGGGTGGTCACCACGGAGATGTCGCTAAGGCTTTTGGTCAAGAAGTTGCCTCAACGGATCGTAGCCTAGGTGAGGTCAGCAGCCCACAAGCGAGCGTCATATTGTTGGAGTCCTGCGGAGAAGGACAAGTGCACTGGAAGAGGACATAGCAAATGCGCTTTCCGAAGGCTGTGTTCCTGGTTCCTGAAGAACATTGATTCTCCAAGGTGCCACAGAGGTCACATTTCAATGTTCTCGACAGAGTGGCTCATGTGTGCCGCTGCTGGAGGAAACCTAGAGCGTCCTTGTGGAGCGTCCTTGTGGAGCGTCCTGCTGAAGAGCTTGATGTTTGGCTTGATGGTTGAGATGGACTCCGTGTCGTTGGACTGCAACTTCCAACCTGTGTGCCGATGCATGGATGGTGAGGAACTTCAGATTCTGCATGGAGTGTGGTGGGTAGAGTGTGGATTACCAGCTGGGCATCATCAAGAGGTCACTGAAAGCGGCTTCGAGTTAGGTGTTGCGTGGTTCACCTATGGGCGCAGAATCCTTTGAGTTCAGAACTCAGCGTCTAAAGTTCGGTCTCCAGTCCCTTAGTGCGGGTCTTTGAGTTTGAGGAAGTTGAGACAGTGCAACACTATTTTTTTTTGAGCAGATGGTACTAGGTTGGAGGCCATCGCTTCTGGGGTGGAGACCATTGCAACAAGGTGGAGGCCATTGCAACATGAGCGCCACTTCGCCTGGGCTCCCGGATGTGACTTTGTGTGGACACGAGCGTTCGCAGCTGCCAGACAAGCCCCGGCGCGGAATTGATAATCAAGGGCCGCTCAACGGCAAGTGATTGAAAAATCATGTGGACCTGTTGAACAAGTACTTTTGCCGTTGCCATTGCAGCGACATTTTTCTTCTACCCCCGGTCGAAACCACGGAAACAAATTGTTGAAACCGAAGAGTCTTAGCGCATTGCTTTTGACACGTGAGTCGCATGTAAGTCGTTGGCGTGTGTTTCGCTTGTATCACTGCCATGAAAGGCTTGAGCTCATGAGGCGCTTGCAAAGGGTATAAAGGGGCGTTCGTCGGCAGATGAGAAAATTTGGTTGGAGTTGGTAGTCTCTTCGTTTCATTTTGTAAAAACCAGATGGCTGAATTCCTCCACCCCAGTGGCCAGCGTCAGCAAGAGAATGGCTGGCGCGACCGCGCGTGTGACGTCCCTCAAACAGGTAAGGTCGTTGGACGTTCGACGCATGATAGCTCGGTTTTGGCTTTCAAACACACGCATTGGCTGTCGCAATGAGGTGATATGGCCTGAAAGTAAGCGCACATGTAAACTGATCCAAGGTGTTGGTTCTTACAAGGGGGATGCTTGCTTTGTCTCATGGACAGCATGGAAACGTGGTCGAATTGCACCGCAGGTCAAATGGCCTCAATTCAGGATCTATCCTCCTCCATTGCTTGGCCTGATGGATCGACCTAACTTAACAAATGGTCAAGCTGCGTGTGTGCCGGTGGAGACCATATACCTGCAGCGGGCAGCTTCCTTTGGTGTGCGGGAGTATAAGGCGACGGGCGTTGGGTGTTGGATGCAATTTCAATGGATAATCAAGTTATGGGGTGCGGTTCGCCGTCGTCTTCGCTTATATAATGCTGCCTGAAGGCTTGTCATACAACGTGGTTTCTGTGTGTGAGGTTGGGTTGTGTGTGTGTGCTCGCAGTCATACAGTTCTTTTGACTAACGTTGGACTGGGTTGCTGCACGCTCAACTTGCCAGATTGCCGCACGTCCTGGCAACAGGCTACATACCACCACGAATCAAACCACTGCTGTTCTCTCAGCCTCAATGCACTATGTCACTATTGTAGACATTTGGCCACCGTGTATCTCTTCAGTTTCACGTAGCATGTGATCAGTATGTCAGATTGTCAAGGGGGGTTCTGAGGTTCTGCGCATGTTGTAAATTTGGGTGGCTGCCAATTCGGCAGCAATATCTCCATGGCAGCGTGAGTGAAGGCCAAGTTCATCCCTTACAACATTAACAACATTTCGGACAACCTGACCTTTGTTTGCCCTCCCGGCTCATTGATGCAAAGTATTTCTATACAGGCAACCCGTTTGCATGGAAAACGACCCGCAAGGACCCATGACGCCAAAGGAGGACCCAAGCCAGGTGTGTTTTGTTATTTTGTGATGACTAGGCTCGGCTAGGCGGTTGAGTTTCCGGTTGTGTTTCATAATTCGTTGCAGAATGTTGCAGACCAGTTGTTTGCAAGTCCAGTTCAGGATTGTCCAAAGAATGCAAATGGAAACTGTGCAACTCGTTGTTTTCAATTTGCAATCTTGCTACTAGTAGTAATGCCCTAGCTACTAGTAGCGTCCTTGCTACTAGATGAACATACGTAAAACCTCTATGTTTTTATTGATTTTGTTAAATATTGTTTGTTTTTGTTTTCCACGGAGTTGGTTCGTGATTTATGCAGGACACAGCGTGTTTTGATTTGTTTGAACTTCATATGTTCGCACCCGTTTGAGAATTCTCAACTTCTCCCATCACTTTTTGAATGTCCACTGAGGCATTTGCATGGAACAGCATGACATTCTCTTGTATTGGACCTTGGGAGACGTTAGTCGCACCTCCCAGCAGTTTGAGCAGCGCTTATTTCGAGGACCGGAGAGTTAGAAACTGCCAAAAGATTTTCGTGCGATTTTTCTAACACCAGATACAGGCAAGCATTGCGAGATGTTTCAGGTAGTTGCAAAAGTTTTTGGACTGGCCCTTTCTCTTTCACCGATTAGCTATTGTTGCTTGGCATTGGTATGTTGGAGGCTCTTCACCAAATCCCAAGTCAAGTGATTGATATGCAGCATGAGACTTCAAGTACTCTCCAAATTGGTGTTGATCGTAAATTCTGGCCACTTCACTGGAAATTGTCGTTGATCCAAAACTTCACTCCAAGCAAGATTACCTCGATGTATTCCACCCTCATGGCCAGAACTGCAGCCAAAATTGGACACAATCCTGGAGCACTGAAAGCAGATCACCTAACTCCTCATCGTCAGGCGTGCCGAACCGTGCGTCAATCGAAACCGGTGGCCTCGTGAAGCTCAAAGTTTGGTCCACCTATTCGGCGTCAGAAAACACAACAGGGCAGGCGATAATATTTTTTAAGCGTTCAATGGTGCTGTCGAGACAGCCAGATACAGGGAGAGAGAGAGAGAGAGGGAGAGTGTGTGTGTGCCCCTTGTAGTCACAGGGATTCTTGATTTTTTTCAGCAGGGGACAACCCCATGGATGCAGTTGGTTGTCCAACGAAGAGGGCTGCATTCCATGGCTGATATGATCCTGGGACGCTGGGATCACGTACCTGCTTGGTTGTGATGTTTACAAGCTGTTACCCTGATTTTCTTTAAACGGCTAGTGCACTCTGCAGACAAGAGCGGCCGCCGTCAACTCGACTTGTTCGTCGTTCTCGACTTGAGCTTTTGGCCTTTACCTGTACCCTTAGGAAATGGTAACCTAGGCTGGCGTGTGGCACCGCATTCAGTTCAGTATGCAAAATCATAAGTGTGTCTGGCTTAATGCCAGCCCGGGATGAGCCCGCAGAGTGTCTCCCGTGGACCCGTCGAACGCGGGTTAGTCCAGTGTTCCCCCTGCCCGGGAACGTACGTGTCCAGAGCGGACAGCAGGAGGCTTATGCCAAAGTTATTTGCCAAGATTTGTCGGACGATTGCATTCCAAGCTGGGCGCCATTTTGGCATGCCTTTAGGTGACCATAGCGGTCAAAGCAGCCAGCTCATCGTGAACTGCTTCATGTACATGCCATGCCTCATTGGACCTCATCCTGGTGATCCTTCACCACGGCTTGGCGATTCTTTCCCCTCCCTTTTTGGAACGTGTTACTTGTCCTCATCTTCAAGTACAACTATGCCGCCATCTTACAAGCGATGCAGGTCACCCATACCGCTCTCCACTACACCCGTGAGTTGATGACCACCTTTGGTCTGATTCACACATTGCACCACAGCCCGGGACAGCTTGGTACCTCCTTTGTGGATCATCGCCGCTTGTTTCCCACTGTGCCCGATACTCGTCCTTCATCCTCTTCACCGCTGGCTACATCCATGACGGAGTATACTCACCCCCGACATGTTGACCCTGGACCCCCTTCTCGCTCGACGTCTTCTACTACCAGACCAGTGCATGGCATCACTGTGACCACTTCCCATGGCTACCATGTACCTCGCCCCCGTTTGGGCCCCAGGGTCACCTCGGACCGCTCTCGTTCTCGTTCACGTCTGAACCCGCGCTAGTTGATTGGTTTCGCACCAATCTTCGATTTGCCTAATTTTAAAAGAGCGTCCATCTCCACACAATCTACAACCTTTTCACCAGTGACGAATCACGCATGGGTTGACGCTACACCCATTCACCCACCTCTTCATGTGATTCCCTGGCTCTAGCTTGAACCCTTGCTACGTTTTCACGTTCACCATTTCAATTGTTTCCCACTCGATGATTTTTCTTTGTTTCTGATCTCGATCTTGATCAGGATTCCTTCTACGGATTTACCCTTTGACCTGCTTAGCTCACCTCACTGCCTTGTCGCCATGGATCGCTCAGACTCTTCGAACTCCTCTCAACATCGTCATCGCCGACGACGTGGACGTCCGGAGGCCTCCCGATCCCGTGATCGTGCCCACGCTGAAGCTGACGCTCCAGATTATGACGCTGATGATGCTCCTGAGCACAATCCCGCATCCGCCCCTGGGACCTTAGATGCGATCCCTGTTTTGCGGCTTCTGACTTTTGAGAAGCTACCTTTTGGAAGCATGGGTTTAAGCTTCGAAGCTAAGGAACCTGTCTTCTTTGCAGTGTTTTGATGCTCTAGCAGCTTGGAAACTAAGCTTCTCTTTTTTCAACATGCAAAAATACAGAAGCTCTTCTTGGAGCCTTCAATAAGCACTTCTTCAACATTGAAGAAGCTCTTCCTTGTTATTCAAAGAAGCTCTTCTTTGTATGGTTGCATGAACAGGTTTACACCTAATCACAACATGAATCACAATTGCAAAGCACACTGTGCGCAGTGATTGGTCAGAAGTGCCATGGCTGCATGCTTGCCTGTAGAGCCTGACAAAGGCAATGATGAGGAGCTTGCGGCCTTGTAAATGCTTATCCTGACACCAGGGATCCCAAGAATTGGAGTGCAGATCCTGAACAGGCCTGCGTAAGGCACCATGGCTTCTCCACAATTTTTTTGAAGCGACACCTTCAGAAGCAGAAGGCGCAAAAGGTTTTCCAAGGAGCCTGCAGAAGGCTGCATGATTGCAAATTGCATCATGGAAGTGAGAAAATGGACTTTGAAGAAATGGAAGAATCTCAAGAGTGGAGTGAGAACAACTCCAGCAGTTCTCTCCCTCATGCATGCTGCGTATGGCCAGCCTGCACAAGGCAAGGCAGAGCCTGTGGAAGGCAAAGCAGGGCCTGTGCAAGGCATCAAGAGGAGGTTGACAGTTAAGTCACCCTCCAAAAATGTCTCACCAATCATCATCCAAGACTCTGGAGAGGTTGAGCTGTCTCCTCCTTCTTTGGTGGAGGAGATTAGTTCTTCAGCTGGATCGAGCCTGGGTAAGGCAAGCAGTGGTTGCATTGGTGCAGAGGTTTTGGAAGCCATGGAAAGGCCATCAGCATTTGAAAAAGCAAGCCGCACAGAAAAGGCCAGCAGCAAAAAGAGCCTGCAAAAGGCCTGCAGCTGATGTGGGAGATGGAGAGGCTGCCAGAGCCTGCGCAAGGCCTCCCATTGAAATGGCTGCCAGCGGGGGCTTGGCATGGATCAAAGTCTTTGTCTTGGGTCAAGCCCACAAAGGCAGCCAAGAAGGCCTATATACAGGCCAGGAATGACGCACACAGCAAACCATATTGCTTAGTGCTTAGTCAATGGGAAAGAGAAAGAGTGCCTGAGCAAGACAGGATCATGTCAGCCCTCATGCACAAGGCACAGCAGGGAAAGGCAAGGAAAAGGGAAAGAGCAAAGCAAAGCCCAGAGACAACAGTCACCAAAGAAAACCCAGAAACCCAAGCAAGCCACCTCCCTCAAAAAGGACACCTGCCCAGGTACAAAAGGAACAGTTGGGGGAAAAGGTGCCTGGAGAAGGCAAGGCTGCCAGTCCAGGAACACCGTCATCTTGTTCAAACACCTCTGAAACCTTGTCCCCACAAGAGGTGAAGGAGAGCCCAGAGCCTGTGCAAGGGCTGAATGCAATACCAGAACCAGCTGAGCCTGAGCAAGGCTGTGAAGCAAAGCCCGAGCCAGAGGCTCAACCACGAGAGCCTGAGCAAGGCTTTCTTGACCAACACCCCTATTCAACCTGGACCGACTTTCACTATCGGGTTTGCAGAGCCCGTGGATGGCAGCTAGTCTTGGGCGCTACTCCCAGCCTTCCTATTTGGGAAGCCTGTGACAGTTGGGAATGACGAGGAGCAACGCCTCGCCCATTTACCCTCTCCCAAAACTCATCCTCGGGGTCACAAACGTCAAGCGGTTGATAATCTGGAATATACCCGCGCACATGATGCTTCAGAGCATGATCGAACAGTTCACCGAAATGGACGTTTCTACAAATCCTGCACTTCGCCATCTCACTCCTGATCAACAACACGCTACGCTCGATGGTTTAGTTCATACCTTGACCAACTACCAAGAAGAACTACGTGCAGCCACAGACCAGCAGCGACTCACCGAATCTTCTCAGGCTGCCGACCCTTCGGCCCCAGTTGGACTCGATATGCCCAGCGCTCCCCCTACTGCCGATGTTGAAGTTCCCGTTCCTGATTCAGGATCCATGTCCTTGACGTCATCGTCGACTTCACCACCAAGTATACGTTGCCCCCCTCCCTACCGCTCTACCAATGAGGACCACGACTGATTGCCTTCTTTGGAGGCGGAGGCCGTACGAGCTTCCCTGACTTGTCTTCATTTCTGTTTCACCTGGCATTTCTGCGGAGCCCCAGCTTGAAACATTTCAACTAGTTTTCCTGCTTTTCTCGCTACTCTTCATTTTCATTCTATGCACTTTCCACTTTTCCCCCTGATTTTAGTGATGCACCAGTTACCTTCCGTCTGGCTTTCCGCAGCCATTCAGCTTGTCCTCACGCCCCGTTGATGGATTTTCACTAATGATCTCGTCACCAGGACTTCGTGTTCCTGAACCTTTGACTCAGCTCATCCCCACCGAGCGGCGAGAGGTACGGCAACCTTTTGAAACCCTTGATCAAGTACCTCACCTCATCACCGTGACCCTGACCACCGCACAGATTGAAACCAAAGAGCACACGGTTGATGACCTCAAAGATGTGATCTTTTCTCGCTTAGGACAACAACGCACTGCCTTTTGGATGGCACTCCCTTCCACTGGCGACTCTCGGGTTTGGGAGGTACCACACACCTGCACCCTCGAAGACCTGGTCCTCTCCTATGTCAACTCCCGCCGCGTTCGACTCTTTGGGACCCAACACGCTATGGGAAAGGTCCTGCAACTCATGACCAGAGAGGTGGTGGAGGGGCCTCTGTGTTCAGAGACAACTTGAGATGCTTGTGGCAGGGCTACAACCCTTGTGGCAGCTGCTGCAGCCAGTGTCAGCAAGAAACCAGCCACAGCTGACACAAAGAAAAAAAGGACTAGCCAGCCAGTCGAAGAAGTGGAAGGCACTGAGGGTGACCTCACAGAGGCACAAGTCAAGGCATGACCAAAGGGGAAGAACCTGAAAAACAAGCTTGGTGGGCTAGACAACCTCACCATGATGCCTCTGTGGAAGAGGTTCAAGATGAACAGAGAAATGGAAGGTGAATATTCACGGGAACAACACCTTTCCCTTTTCGACCACTCCATACTGTTGCTCCCCGTTTACATGATGATGCTATTTGTCAACTGAGGCTCCCATTGACCGCTTACCAAACTTTCCGGGAACTCCACCGGTTTTCGTAGTTTCACTAGTTCCACCCTGTCCGTGTGCCTCCCTTAGGGGAGGCGTGTGTGTGTGTGTGCCCCTTGTAGTCACAGGGATTCTTTTGAATTTTTTCAGCAGGGGGACAACCCCATGGATGCAGTTGGTGGCTGCATTCCATGGCTGATATGATCCTGGGGCGCTGGGATCACGTACCTGCTTGGTTGTGATGTTTACAAGCTGTTACCCTCATTTTCTTTAAAGGGCGAGTGCACTCTGCAGACAAGAGCGGCCGCCGTCAACTCGACTTTTTGCGTCGTTCTCGACTTGAGCTTTTGGCCTTACTTCTTTTGAAGACCCCTCAGGCCCTCCTTTAGGTTTTGCCTGTACCCTTAGGAAATGGTAACCTAGGCTGGCGTGTGGCACCGCATTCAGTTCAGTACGCAAAATCATAAGTGTGTTGCACTCCGTATCCAGGAGTCTCATTCTTTTCCAACATAACAAGCAGGGGACCAGGCAGGATACATCGTCGCCTGGTCAACGAAGCTGGCGATGTATCCAAGGATATGGAAATGGGACGCCATTTCCACGTACCTGTTGAATTTTGA